AAATTGAATTGAATTGAATTGATTCTGACAGCAGCCAGGGGGCGCCATTGCACGCTTAGAAGGAGTCACTTACTTGTAGGTGCTCCTAACCTTCCTCTCGCTGGGGAAGCCCATCATCCCACAGACAACCCGGGAGTTCTTCGGGCTCCATCCCTGGCCACATATCTGCGTCCAGCTGTCCTGCAGCTTCACCTCCACGACTCCCTCTGTGATGGGCATCCGCCTCGCACCCCCTTCTGCTAGGGGCCGCAGCCGCACCTCCTCGAAGTGGTTCTCGTCCACCTGCGTTTGGGTGGAGAGGGCAGGGAAACTCCTGTGACCAGCCTGTTAGGTGCATTGGTGGGGGTCTCCTCTCACCTCGCAGCTTCAGTTCTGCTAATGCTCAGGGCGTGCAAACAAATCAAGAACAAGTAGCAGAACATCTGCTCCAGAGAAACAGCTGGACCCAGCAGCAAGGAAGAACCTGACTGCGATGGTCGCATTGAAAATCAAGTGATCATTCCTTCTGTCTAGCTACCCATCCATTTTCCAGTAAACGATCACTTCCTCTCTCTTCCCTAACGACAGGATCAAAATGAGATGGATGCACGGACCCCCGATGGGATACAAGCACTACAGGGAGAAGTCGAACCCTCAGCCCTGGAGTTGTGATGCTACAATGTTGCCCACTGCGGAACCACACAACCAACAAAAAAGTTCAAAACCAAAGCAAAACTCAAAAATACTTTATCACTGAATCCTATTTCAGACTGAGTAGCTGGCGCTCGATTTAAAACTAATATATCATTTCAACAGTCGACCATATGGCTCGGCAAAGAAGACTGCTGACGGGACACCGGGGCAGATAAGCTCTTGCTGTTAACACTGTTTATGGAGGGAGCGTTCGTCTCCAGTCCACTGCACCCCTGCGCCCCCAGCCACAGTGGACATACCGAGTGGGGGCCAGCTAAAGGCTGATTCATAGCGCCAGACTGTTTACATAGCAGCTGAAATGACTTTTCCAAGGTTTGTCTAACAACTGGCCCATAGCTAAGAGCCTTGAATGAACCCGTCCATTCAGGATCCCGCGGGTGGGGGAGGGGGTTTCAGCCAGTGAGATTTCTTGTCTGAGGTGGCAAAGGAACGCCAGAGGTACTGGCCACATCACCGCCCCCCGCCCCCCGGATTAGCGGCATTCCCACAACCTCTTATGAAACCTTTGCTTATGATCTAGTTAAATCAAAGAGCAGGACATGTCCCAGCTTCCTCTCCGCCACTCCGGGAAATCTGTGAAGGAGGCAGAGAGCACAAATTGCTTCTGAACCGGCGACTGGAGAGAGACCTCTTTGTGGAGTGAAAAAAACAATCCGATATTGAAACTGGGAATAAGATTAAATATGTTTAACATGTACTACATCTGTTTTACAGGAAGCAGAGGACACAGGACACCCTGAACACACTCAAAATGGACACCTACGCGTTTATTAGCAGGATGAAACCCACACATACACACTAAACACACAGATTTGGGGCTTGAACCACCAACTCAAGACATTTCAAGTAACCATGGTAGCTACAGGGCCACCCAGAACTGAAGGAACGAATTTCAGAAAATGTGGTAAGACACTAATGGGACTTTTCAGTCACAGGAAAGCCCAATCTGGGCAATGTACAAACACAGTGCTTTCTCCATTGATTTAGCACCTATGATCTGCAGTCTGGTTATTCCATAAAAGGCAATCAAGAAGCATTAGAAAATTACGAAAACATAATCTACACATACACTTCAGAAGAGATCCACTGGGTTCCCAGATGTTCCTCAAGATACTGAAGTAGAACTCATTTAGAAATTAGCAATGCAGTTCAGAGTGCTGCAAACTCTATCCCATGCAGTGAGGACTTTGCCCATGGTGGCGGTGGTGGGGGGGGTTTCCCATTATGAATTTTGGGGAGTGGGGATGGGGGGAATTTTGCCGGCTGACAAACCCATCAGCCCACCAGTAAAATGCCTGGTATGCACGATGGCCAGTCCGGGCCTGGTGCTCATGATCTTACACGTCCATGATGACCATCAATCTAAGGGGCCAACACTTCAAGACAAGGTGCGACTTTTAACCTTCTGGTAGTTGTCATTATATTTCACAAACAATTGAACAATATGTCACAAAAATGCAAAAGTAAAACATAAAAATATAACATTTTACCAGTGTTGGGCATTTCAGGTCTAGAAGGTGCAAACCCAGACCAAGATTTTGTTTCTATCAACCAGTTGAGTATAACGACAGAGGACTCAACTGGTTGGTTAAAACAAAATCTTGGTCTGGATTTGCAGCTTCTGGACGTGAAATGCCCAACACTGCATTTTACAATGGTTATCCATCGTAACAATTCAACCTCCATATCACACAGATTCATTTGCCAGCCCAATGGTAGCTGTTCTGATATTTACAGTGGAGATGAGTATCACCACAGGTTTGCTAGATAGCTTCAGCTCTCTGACCCCCAGCCCCACCTCGATGATGTTGGAGTCCACAAAGCCAGGCAGCCTCTCATCCTTGCAGATCACGCCAGCGTCCTCGTCGTGGGTACAGTCGCTGTTTCCCCAGCCACGGGACCGGCACAGCCCGATGCTCTTCTCGCTGCCGCCACACTGCACATTATCCAGCCAGATCTTCCCTGGACATAGTTTACATAGTTTTTTTACGGCCCCAGGGAGTAACACAGCAAGGCAGCCCAGGGACCCGTCAGTGATTTCATGGATTTTATCCATCAAAACAATTCACTATTCCATTTTTTGTTAATCATTTAATCATTACTATGCCTTGCATCACTTAATTGTACTTCCCACTGTTTGGTTTTGAATATTAACCCACAGTAAAATAATTCACATGAATATATGAACTGTCATGATTAATTAATGATGATCAAGCATGGGATGAGTATGTAACTAACACTTAGTTGCTGGTTAATTAATGCATTAAGCATGTACTACATTATTCTTGTCCCCTCAAGTAAAGTGTGACCCTACATACTTTTACCAACTGCCCTTCTAATATTAATTAATGGTGTTAGTATGACATGTGTGTCTGGGCTGCCACTTAACCATTTGCCTGCCTGCATTTCCCAGCATGCCTTTAGCCGCCAATCAGCTCACCTGTCCCCTTGCCGTACTTGGCACTGTGCGTCCAGCCCGTGGCGGTGACGAAGCCCAGCTGACGACACAGCACATGGGCATTGGCTATGGTGAAGTCGTCGTCGCAGATGGTGCCCCACTCTCCCTTGTAGAAGATCTCCACGCGGCCCTCGTTGTGTTTGCGGGGGTAACCCGCCAGCCGGAACTTGAGGGTGCTGCCCTGAGGCGGGGGGGAGGGCGACTCCTGGCTCAGGCAGAATGGCAGCCAAAAGCCCACAAGTACAGCTGTTCCGGCGGCTGAAGGTCGCCACCATCCCGGCTGCTTCATCTCCAGGCCAATGACTAGGAGACGGTTCACAAAACATCATGTAGCAGCAACAGTCTGAAAATGTGCTTTATTTTAAAAGCCAAAAAAGAAAAATTGCTTGCAGTAACCATTTTAAACACAATTGAGGGATTTTTTTTTGAGATAATACCTCTGCCAACAGTACATGTAACATACTGCACTAAAGGGCTTCTGTTTAGGAACAGACAGAAAACAGGGCAGAGTAATTTTAAGATGTCAACATAGGGTCGAAAAATATGGAGACTGACATACAAAGCAGCCTCAGATGCCATTTCTGTGCTTATTTGGATTGTATAAGCAGAGAAATTGAGCCTTTCCTTTGTGAAGGAGTTCCGTAGGAGGCTTGATAAAACATGCGGCCTTGTCCTGAAATGGATCTTAACTTACTGTACGAGTTAATAAACCAAGAATGACCAGTCTGTTTAATAAAGATGCCAGTCCTACTGCAAGCTGGGTGCCCCTAATGGTCAAATCCTAGAATTACCCCTGCTCACCCAGAAAACTGGCTATTAAAACCAAACCAGACAGATCAAAATTGGTGCAGGACAGCTGTGATTTTGAGCGTCATCCCAGAATGGTGTAGGTGGCCAGAGATCTTTATTGGAAAAACATTAAGAGGGCACCAGACACTCACTGTTCACTGACAATTATCTGAATACACTGCAGCTAACAACTGGTTTTCTGGAATGTTCTATGTCTTAATAATGGACAAACCAGTGCCATATTGCTTCTAAATACTAACTCAACTTAAGCTTCCATTATTCAAAGCCCAAATGTGGGCCACAGCCTCACATTAGACAACCACTGGGTAGCGGTCATCTGAAACCAGATCTCAAAATGTCCTAAGTAATCAGTTTCATAACAATTTCATAAATCCGACATAATTTATTTTCCATAGCTGCTCATCCAAAGTAGGGTTAGAATTTGGTGATCAGTGGTTATTGACACGCCACAGCAACAAAATGTGTCCTCTGCATTTAACCCAAATGTGACAATGTGACATAGCAGGGGGCAGCTAATTCGGCACTGGGAGGGGCAGTGCCTTGCTCAGGGTACCTCAGTGGTGCCTTACTGGTTGGGGATTTGAACCAGCAATCTGTCAATTACAAGCGTGCTTCCCTAACCATTGAGACACCACTGCCCACATGATGAGAATGGAGTCAGACAGGGAACACAATGATGACCGTGCATCGCAGGACACATGGTCATAATCATACACTAAGGGCCATTCAGAGACACCAATCTTCAAATCTGCGGGTCTTTGAACCACAGGAGGGAAGGAGGTAATAAGCACAGAACCGCAAGCAGGAAACGAACCAACAATCGGAGGCCACAACGCTACCCGCTCAGCTAGGAAGCGGCCGGCATCGTGCAATGTAATTAGCGTAATCAGTCCCAGAAGCGACTTTGCGAAATGCAAATATAACCGCCACGATCGGGACTTTGAAAAACTTCTGGCAGGTCTGTATAAGAAGAAAAACTTAGGACTGGAACGACCCTCAGAGAAAAACCAGGTGTGTTGACACTGTAATCGCATTTCATTATTTATTTTCACATGTTAAAGGGATCTGCTTTTTTTGTCGTACGGATAATGCAGAAATCCAGAGATGGCGAAAATTACACAAAAGGATAGGAGAAATGAACAAACCAATGCCAGGTTGGTGAAATATCCTTAAACGCCATCAACGTTACTCAATTTAAATACGTAAAGGTTAAAAAACTGTAATGACGGTCTGATTACGTGTAATATAATAAAGAACAATAAAGGTCTGAAATGAGGGATAGGATAGCATCATGTCTCTAAAAAGACTAAAAGTAAATTAGTGACAAGGAAAATGTTTTGTCGTTTTAAAGTGTGTTTAGAACAACTCACTGATAGGTTTTACTATGACTCGCAAAGGATGTTTAAACGTACCTAAGTTGGACACAAAAGCACATCACAGACAACAGCTGCAGACGTGTGATGGTACCCCACTAAAACAGCAGAATACAAAACTAACCAAAAGCAGAGAAACCATACGGACATCTGGAAAAGTTTACAAGTTTATTTTAAAAGGTGTTTTCATGCTTTTTTATTATTTTCATATAACATGCAGAAAACGCTGCACTTACCTCAATTGATCAGAAGGAAAAAAAAAATTACAGTCGATCTAAGTAAGAAATAAAGAAAAGCGCGGAGAAAAGAAGCGCATTGGGTTTGCTCTGCTGGTCTGGGTGCAGCCTCTCGGGGGATCGTGGTTTCCCCGGATCTTTCGGTATCTTCTCTGGGTCTGACTGAGTCCCGGACGTCTGCACGGCTTACAAAGGGGGCGGCTTTCCAGAGAAACACTGCCCCTTTTCATCGGCCCGGAGAGCTTGGAACGCTCCTGGATATATAACGCATTAAATGCACATTCCTGTCAGAAATTACACGGATTCACCTTTCACAAAATCCTTCTGCTGCAAAATAATAGTTTGTATGAAAACGAGTTTTACGACACAAGTCAGTGGTTGAATTATAAGCTTATGGAAACGTTGCATTTCCTGTATCTGTATCTTTTTTGTATCCTATGCATTTAGATGCGTATTGTGTCGTCTCAGAGGGTGAGACTCACACCCATAATTCGATACGTAGGCTACTCTCCTATGAAACCCAATAGAGGCTGTAGATGTTTCCTGCTAAACTATTGAATTCATCCATCCATCTTCCAATAGCCTATCCAGTGGGGGAACCTGGACCCTATCCCATAGTGGTCGATGCAGCGAAACGACTCATACTATGACTAACTAAATGTTTTCCTATACTTACAATTACACTATCACTTGTTAATGGGAGTATGATATATTTTACTTCTTTCATTTTATCTATGATTTTTATTTCCTTGATTGTTCAGAAATTTAGAGACAACTACAGAGAATTTCAGAGTCAAAACTTTGCAGGGCAACTGGTTCACCGTTTAACGCAATAACGTATCCATGACCATTAAAAACTCGTCAACTTTAACGCATTTTTCATGCACCGACGCGGCGTAACGTAGAAGGTGATTGTACTAACGATGACTCACCAGTAGGGGGCTACTGGGAACAGTGCAGTAGGACTATTACCTGGGTTCATTCATGTGGAATAGGCTATGGCCGTTGTAATTTTATTTTTTGTGATATTTAATATATTTGTATCCCATTTAAATTCGAAATCCATGGACCATTGGATGACAAAAACATCCTGTTACCAAATATTATTGTCTTTTTGGAAGACGAGATGTGGCAAGGTGAACCCATGTGACAAGGTCATTCATTAAGTAAACCTGCACCTTATTACCATTGGTGATTAAATGGGGTCAGCTGAGTGTATACTGTCCATTATATACCTTATGAAGAATTTCCCCTTTGGGATCGTTAAAGTTGCATGTGTTGGCTTTGCTCCATGGAGTTTAGGGGATTTTACTGTCTACCTATGGGGACTGGCCCAACCTTTTCCAACCTGCTTGCCACATCGAGCATGGAGAGCATTCTCACCTACTGCATCTCAGCATGGTACATACCAGCTGCAGAGTGCAGGGACCAGAGAGAGAAGCCCTGCAGGGAGTCCGCAGCGGTGCCTAGAGAATTATCACTGTGCCACTGCCCTCAGTGTAGAACAGTTACAGCAGCCGGTGCCTCAGCAGAGCGACCACCATCTCCAGCGATCCCACACACCCCAGGCATCACCTCTTCATCCTCTGGCCTCTGGTAGGCGCTACAAGAGAACCAAAGCCCACGCTATCCGGATGAGGTTCAGTTTCTATCCAAAAGCCAGTAGCAATCTAAATCAGGCAATCAGCCAATTCTACCAAGACTCACTCACAGTACTGGTTATTATTTATTACATCATGGACTGTAAATACTTAGCTCACAGTCAATATTCATCTCATACTGTACATTACTCACTGTACTATTGGACTGCAAGCACTTTCTGATTTATCCATTGCACCTTAACATGAAAGCATATTGCTGTTGTGTACATGGCCAGACGTACACACACACGCATTCCTGCACATTCCACGTTTCATAACTGCATTTTGGGTAAATGTGTAAATGTTTCTGAGGTAATATTTACTTTTGTAATTCTAGGAACCACACACTGAACCTCGCTGTACGGCAATAAAAGCTCTCTCAACTTTTAATCAACCCAGAGGTTAAAAAAAAATATTTTCTCTGGAACTCATGTTTACAAAAGACCTGAAATGACCCCCCCGAGCAGAATAAGAGGTTAGAAGATGGATGGATAGACTGATGGATGTTTGCATGCAAAAGGTTCTTTGGCAAATAACATTAAAACTTTTTAAAATCTATTGAGAATGATCACAGCATTTAAACACCGTGGAAATGCCAATGAATAATAGTGTTTTTGTGTTACTGTAAATAGGATTGAAGCAAGTAATTTTTAGCACCCCTCTCCTCAGAGCACTTTGCATGTTTTAGCCAGAGTCACGTCTGACTGGAATGGAATCTGAATTTCCCAAACTCCCTTGCCAATTCCCCAGTGATGTCAACAGTCACATCTGAATTAAAAAAACTCCATCTACATGCATTTAAAGAACATGTTAATCGAATCTGAATTTTACACTTTAATTTGCAAGAAATCCAACTCACAAAATATATTGCATTTGGAAAACTATAACAGGTAAAAAGAATGACAATGTTAAATTCAGCTGCTGCTGACGCTAACGACACCCCCTACTGGCAGTAAACTGTAACAGCACCACTTGCTCACAGTGAAATACACTGCATGGCCAAAAAAAAGGTCACCATTTGAATTTATATCAGCAAATACTTAAAAGTTACATTCCTGCAACGCTATGCAGCAATAAAGTGAAGTCAGCTG